CAAGAGGCAAAGGGAGTGTGAGGTACTTTAAAACAGCAATGAAGCCATCTCAGCACAAGTCAAACTGGTGAGACATGCAGGAAGCTTTGAAGTGTGTTGCCATAGGAGGGCAAGAATTTCAGACCCAAGACATCTTTAATGTAATATGGCAGTTGATGGGCAGAAAAACAATAGAAATAGCTACATTCTTTAAGTGATAGGGACAGGTTGCCTAGTAATCAGGGAATGGTTGTGATACTCTTGAAATGTTTTGCTCACACGATTAGAGTTCGGTTTTTTAATTCTCAGACTTGACCCACTAGGTGGTGGGGAGAATTGAGAGGTACAGAAAGAGAGAGACTGTAATGGAAGGATAATTTGGGCTAGGCTGATGAGCCTGGTTATTGTCTGACAGTTACACTGCTGGGAACTTAGGGTTTTATTTCTGGATGAAGGAATCATTCCGAAAATATCAAAACAGTTAAGAGAGAGAAAGCATAAGAGAAGAGAAGGGAGTAACTTCTGTATTATCTGCTAAAGTTCTAGCTTAAGCATATAAGTAAGGTTGTGTTTTATGACAATTTATTTTTATGTTCTGTAGCAGTAAATATCTTACTTAAGATAACTGTAGTATTTTATTTTAGGTAACAGGAAATAAAATCATATTAATACAATCTCTGTTTCCATCATTTGAGGGTTTAACCCAGGGGTTAGCAACGTTCGGCACGCGGCTCGCCAGGGTGCTTACCCTGGCGAGCCGCGTGCCGAACATTGCCGACCCCTGGTTTAACCATTTAGGCTAGGATTTTCAAAGTAGCCTAAAATTCAATGCGATTTGGGCACCTAACTCTCTTTGGCTCCTTTGAAAATCCCAGTTACCATTTAACATGTAATTGAGCATTCATTTTACTTTTTCCACTGTTTAAGAGCTCCTGGAGGTTTAGGGTGTGTCATGAGGAACTAAGAGGATTGCTTCTCTCACCGCCAGAAGAAACGTAACATGTAAAACAAAACTGATGCTCTGTGCACATAAAGGAACTTCCCCAAACCTCAAGGGAGGATTTGGCCATGACAAAAAACAGGGTATTTGTAACATCATGATTCAGACATGTGCTTAGATACCATGATAAGAGGCACTTTAGGAAAACCTAGATACACAAACTGACTGACAATCCCAGGACCTGAAGGGTCCCAAGGTGTACCCCTTCTCTTCTGCCTTCTCCCAGCAAATTTAAAATTGATCAAAGGAAATAATTTTTTTTACACAATGCACAATTAGTCTGGAGAATTTATTGCTACAAAATATCAAGTTTCCAAAAAGGATCTGCTGTTTATATAGCTAATAAGAATATCCAGTGTTAAAATAGGGGAACTAAAAAATGTTGAACGGGATATAAATATTAATATTTCAAGGCATAAGCCAACCACTAACTGATGGAGGTTAGGAAAAATCTTTGCCTAAGGGCAAATTATTTTACAGTTCTCTTCCTTCCTCTCTAGTATTTAATGCTGGCAACTGTGAGACAGAATATTGAACTAGATAGACCAGGGGTAGGCAACCTATGGCACGCGTGCTGAAGGCAGCACGCGAGCTGATTTTCAGTGGCACTCACACTGCCCAGGTCCTGGCCACGGTCTGGGGGGGCTCTGCATTTTAATTTAATTTTAAATGAAGCTTCTTAAACATTTTAAAAATCTTATTTACTTTACATAAAACAATAGTTTAGTTATATATTATAGACTTATAGAAAGAGACCTTCTAAAAACATTAAAATGTATTACTGGCACGCGAAACCTTAAATTAGAGTGTATAAATGAAGACTCGGCACACCACTTCTGAAAGGTTACCGACCCCTGAGATAGACAATTGGTCCAATCCAGCATGGCAATTTCCATGTCCCTATAAGTTAACAGGAGTTTTGTCTGAGTTAGGAGTAAGAACAGAGCCCCTGTAAATACTATTTCATTGTTTTTGTAACAAGTTTGAACTGTTCCAGGTTTATTCAGACATTTCTCCAGGGATGCCAGAAAGGCAGCAAACCATATATTTTACCCATAATCAAATTATCTTTTTGGATGATGGGAAGGAATTACTTGCAGACAAAATGATCACATTGTAATGAATATTCCTTTACCTTCCATGTCTCTTTGACATCTCATGTTCAGATATGAATGATTTTAATGAAACACATTAAGGTAGGGAAGAAGCAAAACTCACAGCTATTATAGCATTAATCACTCTAAATATTCCTGATTTTTTCAGAGTAACTTCATGGCCCTCTACAGATGGGGGATCAGTTAGCGAATAATGCCCTGTCAGTTATTTCTTACCTATGGGACTAGAATTTTAATCCATCCTTAGGTCTTCGGCACATGTGTAAACATCTGTTGTAGTATTAGCTAGTAAACCAGTGGTTTACAGCTCATATCTGTAAATTCATAACTAGCTCAACTGGTCGCTCCTCTGGGTGGGTTGAAAGTTAAATAGCACATGCAGATGTCAGCTAGAAAATTTTTCCTCCCAAACACTGTAGTTCCACTTCCAGCTCAGCCATACTGGGGAAACGCCTAACCTTTCCTCAGGTGTATAGGGACTGAAGGGCAACAGAAACAAGGCATGAAGGGAGGAGGGCAGGGAAGCTGTGCTCTGCAGGAGTTTCATCCAAGGTAGCAGGGAAGGGCAGACAGGAGAAAAGGTGGAGACATGGTGAGTAGATCCATGACTAAAGAGATCAACCTCGCAAGGCAAGGTTAGCAGTAGTGGCTATAGAGCAACTCCACTGGTGCTTCACAGGCTGAGAAGAATATTCTGTGCCCCAAGCCGCCACAGAGAATCCTTTGTAAAGCCATCTTATTTGGGCTTTGGGGAGGGGGGAAACACTGCCTGTTTGTGGCTGCAGTCTCACTGGATGACTTGCAGTTTAACAATTTACAGAGAAATGATGCTGCTATAGTTACTGTACTACGAGTGATAAAAAAACCTCCCCTTTTTAAAATATCACCTTTTTCAATACTTCATATAGGTGAGATTATTAGAAATCTCTTTTAGGCCAGCACTGTAAGAACAGGACTAATTTAAGCATAGAGAGAGTTAGAGTCCCAAGTTGGCACAGTTTTTAATTATGCTGTCATGCTGGTGTTTTGACACTAATGGAGAAAGAGAACAAAAAGTAGTCCCTCCTCCCACTGTACTACTGAGATTAATAATAAAATAGTCCTTTTTATTATTATTTACATTGGGTCATAGATGTGTGCAGCTGTTTACAAATTACGGCTTACAAATTATCCTTTTGCTAATAAAGGTAAAGCCCTATTCTTTTGTAATGTACTGCCTTTTAAAACTAAAAATTTTGTACTAAAAGATATTTACTAAAAAAATATCTGGGCAGCTGTGATTCTGTGTTCTCCAGTTCACTGTTAGAGTTCTCATAAAAAAATTAGAGCTTTCAAAATTGACTTTTATGTATGGGTGGCCAGTCTCCAGGGGACTACTTTCCACATTACAAAAACACCACCACAGAAGATATAATTGCTCCCATTTTTGACAGCCTCAGCACAGAAGTAAACAATCTGAGGGCTGATCAGATTCTAAAGACAAAAAGACCACTATTATCATCCAGTAGTCGGAGCTCCTGATAACACTGGCCACAGAACTCCCCTAAAATAATTCATACTTGAACTACAGCAGCGGCCCTCAAACTTTTGAGAGTCATGCCCACTCTTACCCCGTCAGCACCCTCCCCACCCTGCTGGAGTTAGGCTGGGAGCGGGGCTGCGGCTCTGGAGGAGTGGGAGAGAATGTGGACAGGAGTAAGGGGGCCAACGCTGAGGCCACAGCTGGGGGTGGTTCTGGGACTGGGAGTGCGATCGCAGCAAGGGGCCAAGGCTGGGGGTGGGAGTGGAGCCAGAGCCACAGCCAGGCTGCAGTGGGGGCCGGCAGCCAGGCCAGGTGCAGCTCCGCTCCCAGCCTCGGCCCCAGACTGGGAACAGAGCTGCAGCCAATGGGGGAGGATAGCATGGGAGCAGAGCCACCACCAGGCCATGGTGGGGGCTGACAGCCAGGCTCCCGGCTGGGTGCGGAGCTGCACCGAAGCTGGGGACAGGGTCAGGCACAGGGCTGGGAGTGGGGGGACACAGCTAGGAGTGAGACTGGAGCAGAGCTGTGTGATGTTCCTCCACACACCCCTAGGGGGGCGCACCCCACAATTTGGGGACCTCTGAACTAGAGCATAGTGTTGTTCATCCTCATCTCTCACTGATGTCAGACTTTGTTGGTAGTTGGACACTGCAAGATCAGGGCCTTCATAGTCTGAAGATTCACTTACCTATTCATTCTCTAGAGGGTGATGCTCCTGATAAGGGCTGAGGCTCCCTGGAGTAGCAGCATGGGTAAAGCTTGCCATGCCACTGCCCATGCTGCACCTGATCTATGTACTGGATGTCAGTCCCCAGGACCATCAAAGCAGCACCTTCTACCAACAGTGTTTTAGCCTAATGGGGCCCCATCTTGGTTAGTTCTCATTCACTACTGTAATAAACATGCTAAATAATAATTCTTCTACCATGGGTGGCAGATGGTCCTTCATTTGTTAATGTTATTGTTCTAGGAATGATTCTGTAAAGAAGCAATATTGCCCACGGCCAAGAGACTCCCCCAAGCACACAAAACAGAGCTACACCCTTTGGATAGGGCCACTAGCTACTAAATTACCCATTGCCATGGCCTATTGTGGCTCCTAGCTACAGCCCAGAGATGGGTCAGGCAGCCCCAAACGGGGCCAGATGGGACTTTGGTAGGGAAGACAACAGGTATTGTACCAGCCAATGCCTCACACAGCCCCCTCCATGGTCATGCTTGGGTGGGCTGCACCTTCTCCATCCTCCTTACCCTCTCCTCTCCCCTCCCATCTCCATCCCCCCCCGCCATCTCCTCTCCCCTCCCATCTCCATTCCCCCCCCGCCATCTCCTCTCCCCTCCCATCTCCAACTCCTCTTCCTCGCATTCCCGCCCTTAGCCTCTCTCTTCCCCCGCCCCCCTCTGAACTCCCTCTCCCCGGGGCTGCCGGGCCTCGGGACGTAACACACCCAGCGACGTGACCGGGTCCGTGGTCATAGCAACCCTGCATGCGGCTAGAGCGGCCCCGCCCCGGCTGGGGGGGAGGGGCCGCCGCTACTCCGGAGCCGAGAGAAGGGGGCCGGGCCGGCCACGGCTCAGGGAGAGGAGCCTGGGGCCAGGCCAGGTCAGGAGCATGGGCGTGAGGATGGAGAGCGGCAGCAGGAGGAGCCCAGGTAGCGCGGGGCCTGGCGCCCCCCCGCGGAGGGACGGGGCGGGCCTGCAGGGACTCGCCAAGGGCGAAGCGGGGGGGGGGTGACCTCGGCAGCAGCAACACCTTCCACACGGCCGGAGCTGTTAGTCGCTAGCTGGGGGAGGGGAGACCGATAGCTCCCAACATCTATTGCTCTACCTGCTCCGACAGGGTGGGGGAGAGCTCCCAGCATGCATCGCTCCACCCTGATCCCAGGGGGCAGGCCCGGGGGGGAGATCTCCCAGCATGCATCGCACCACCCTGATCCCAGGGGACAGGCCCATGCGGGGAGAGCTCCCAGCATGCATCGCACCACCCTGATCCCAGGGGGTAGCCCATAAGAACGGCCATACTGTGTTTGACCAATGATCCATCTAGTCCAGTATCCTGGCTTCAGCCAGTGGCCAATGCCAGATGGTTCAGAGGGAATGAATAGAACAGGGCAATCATCAAGTGATCCATCCCCTGTCTTTCAGTCCCAGCTTCTGGCAGTCAGAGGCTTAGGGAAACCCAGAGCATGGGGTTGTTTCCTTGATCATCTTGGCAAATAGGGTCCATGAATTTATCTAAGGCTACATCTACACTACAGCTGGGATCGACTCTCTGAGATCAATTCACCAGCAGTCAATTTAGCAAGTCTAGTGAAGACCCGCCAAATTGACAGCAGATCGCTCTCCAGTCGATCCCTGTACTCTACCCCCGACGAGAAGAGTAAGGTGAGTCGACAGGAGAGTTGACCTAAGGTACATCAATTCCAGCTACCTTATTCACGTAGCTGACGTTGCGTAGCGTAGGTCGACTTACTGCGGTAGTGTAGATATAGCCTTATTCTTTTTTGAACCCAGTTATACTTCTGGCCTCCACAACATCCCCTGAGTTCCACAGGTTGACTGTGCACTGTGTGAAGCTTTACGTCCCCCCTTTTTTTTTTTAAATGCTGCCTATTAATTTCATTGGGTGACCCCTGGTTCTTGTGTTTTGTGAAGGGACAATAGCATTTCCTTATTCACTTTCTCCATACCATTCATGATTTTATCATTATGATACCTCTATCATATCCTCCTCTTTAGTTGCCTCTTGTCCAATCTGAACAATCCCAGTTTTTAAAATCTCTCCTCATATGAAGCTGTTCCATACCCCTAATCATTTTTGTTGCCATTCTCTCTACCTTTTCCTATTCTAATCTATCTTTTTGTGTAGAGGCGACCAGCGCTGCATGCAGTATTCGAGGTGTTGGCATACCATGGAGTTATATAGTGACATTATGATATTTTCAGTTTACAGTAAACGCTCATTAGTAGCAACATATGCAAGCATCTGTTGCTGTTATGGGGAGTGTCATCTGACCGAAGGCATATGAAGAGTAAAGGATGTTTTGGAAGGAGAGGGGCAGCCACTTTGTGTGTGTGGGGTGAGGGGAGGCGGGAGTAGGGAACACCAAGTTTGAAAGTGGAACCCTGGGTTTGGCAGGGGAGCCCCCAGTCACAAAATGGCTGAGTGAGCCTGGCTGTCGGACTTCATGGTCCACCTTGGCGAGGCATATATGGCTGGGGAGGGCACCGTGCACAGTCTGCAGGGGTGGGAGGGGCAGGCTCCTTTAGCACTGACACTGGAGATGGGAGGGGGAAGGGGACAGATCAGTGCCCTGGAGAGGGGGATTCCCCAATCCCCCACTGCAAAACAGCACACCCACACCCTGCCATCAGCAACTGAGATGGAGGGGATAGCTCAGTGCACGGGGGTCCCTGATGCTCCCCACTTCAAAATAGCAACCTCCCGTCCCCCCAACCTCTTGCAAGCCAGATGCTGAGGAAGGGAGAAGGAGACCTTCCTGCTGCGCTTCTGCTGTTCTCCCTAATCCCAACTTCCCACCCCCCAAAACTCACCCCTACATATGCTCTCCACGCAGGCTCTGTCAGGCAGGGCAAGTGGATGGGGCTGTGTCCCTGAAGCTGCACTGAAGAGCCAGGGTTGGGAGGGGAGTGAAAAGATGCACCTTGTGAGTAATGGGTCCCTATTGGACAGAGCCCCCTGTTACTCCAGCCCTCGAGTGCGGCCCCATCTGCTTTCTCTATGCAGGCTTTCTCAGGAAGGGCAAGTGGCGGGGCTGTGTGCCCTGGAGCTATGCTGAAGGTCCAGGATCGGGAGGGGAGTGGAAAGATGAAGTTTGGGGGGGCAATGCCTCTAAATGTCCCCTCAAAATCTCCGCCCTGGATGTGATGTCACAACTGTTGCTCTTACGTGGCAGCTATGTTGCTGTTACCAAGTGGTAGGGAAAACGTTCCTAGTGGAAATGTTGCTCATAAGTGGTGGTTGCACTTATGAGGTGTTTCAACAAACAAGCATTTACTGTATTATCTGTCAGTTTCCTAATGGTTTCTAACATTTTGTTAGCTTTTTTGACTGCCATTGCACATTCAGCGGATGTTTTCGAGCACTATCCACAAGATACCAAGATCTCTTTCGTGCGTGTTAACAGCTAATTTAGACTTCATCGTTTTGTATGTATAGTTGGGATTATGTTTTCCAATGTGCATTACTTTGCATTTATCAATACTGAATTTCATCTGTCATTTTGGTGCCCAGGCACCCAGTTCTGTGACATCCCTTTGTACCTCTTCACAGTCTGCTTTGGACTTCACTATCTTAAGTATGCCTTAAGTATCCCTCCTTTGTATTGCCTCCAAACTTTGCCACCTCACTGCTACTCCTTTTTCCAGATCATTTACAAATACGTTGAATAGCATTGGTCCCAGTACAGATCTCCCTGCTATTTATGTCTCTCCATTTTGAAAACTGACCATTTATTCCTACTCTTTGCTTCCTGTCTTTTAACCAGTTACTGATCCATAAGAGGACCTTCCTTGTTATGCCATGACAACTTACTTTGCTTAGGAGTCTTAGGTGAGGGATCTTGTCAAAAGCTTTCTCAAAGTCCAAGTACACTATATCCACTCAATCACCCTTGTCCACATGTTTGTGTGTCCCCCCGCCCCAATAATTCTAGTAGGTTTGTGAAGCATGATTTCCTTTTACAAAAGCTTTATGGATTCTTCTCCAGCAAATCATGTTCATCTATGCGTCTGCTAATTCTGTTCTTTACTATAGTTTCAAACACTCTGTCTGGGACAGAAGTTAGACTTACCAGTCTGTAATTGCCAGGATCACCTCTGGACCTTTTTTAAAAAATTGGCATTACATTAGCTATCCTCCAGTCATTTAGTACAGAATCTGATTTAAGTGATAGGTTACATATCACAGTTAATAGTTCTGCAATTTCATATTTGAATTCCTTCAGAACATCTGGTCTTGGAGACTTATTACTGTTTAATTTATCAGTTTGTTGCAAAACCTCCTCTATGGATACCTCAATCTGGGACAGCTCCTCAGATTTGTCACCTAAAAAGAATGACTCAGGTGTGGGACTCTCCCTCATGTTCTCTGCAATAAAAACTGATGCAAATATTTCAGTTAGCTTTTCTGCAACAGCCTTGTCCTCCTTGAGTGCTCCTTTAGCACCTCAATCATCCAGTGGCCCCACTGATTTTTTTTGGCAGGCCTCCTGCATCTGAAGAACTTACACAAATTGCTGATAGTTTTTGTGTCTTTTGCTAGTTGCTCTTCAAATTCGTTTTTGGTCTGCCTAATTATACTTTTACACTTAACTTGCCAGAGTTTATGGTCCTTTCTGTTTTCCTCAGGAGAATTTGAATTCCAATGTTTAAAGGATGCCTTTTATCACCTCTTTTACTCTGTTGTGGCATTTTCTTGGTCCTTCTTTTTTTTTTTTTTTTTTTATTTGGGGTATACATTAATCTGAACCTTATTGTGAGTTTTTAGAAAGTTTCCATGCAGCTTGCAGGCATTTCACTCTTGTGACTGTTCCTTCTAATTTCCGTTTTATTAGCTTCCTTATTTTTGTGTAGTTCCCCTTTTTGAAGTTAAATGCAACTGTGGTGGGATTCTTTGGTGTTTTCCCCTCCAACAAGAATGTTAAATTTAATTACATTATGATCACTGTTACTGAGCAGTTCTGCTATATTCACCTCTTGGACCAGATCCTGTGTGCCATGTAGGACTAAATCAAGAATTGCCTCTCCCCTTGTGGGTTCTAGTACTAGTTGCTCCAAGAAGCGGTCATTAATGGTGTCTAGAATTTTTATCTCTGCATACCATCCTGCGGTGACATGTACCCAATCAGTAGCCTCTCTAATCTCCCTGAGCATTTCACAATCACCATCACCATCCTGGTTAGGAGGCTGAAAGTATATTCCTATTGCTATACTCTGATTATTCAAGCATGCAATTTCTACCCATAGAGATTCTATGGTACTATGTGATTAATTTAAGATTTTTATTATATTTGACTCTATGCTTTTGTTCCTTTATTGTTCCACTCCCTCATCAGCACGACCCACTCTGTCATTCCTATATATTTTGTATACTGGTATTACCATGTCCCATTGATTATCATCATTCCACCAAGTTTCTGTGATTCTTATTATAGCAATATCCTCATTTAATATCAGGCACTCAACTTCACCCATCTTAGTATTTAGATGTCTAACATTTTTGTATACAAGCACTTATAAAATTTGTCAATATTTAGTTGTCTGCCTTCATGTGATGTAACTGAATGAGACTTTTTTTCATTTGACTGTTTCTCTTCAGCTCCTACCTGTACTTTGTCACCTTCTATCCTCTCCTTTTTATTAAGCTATAGAGAATCCCTATAAATAAATCCTCCCCTAAGGGATGCCTCTGTCCAAACCATGTGGTCCTCCACACTTGTCAGCTTTCCACCAGCCTTAAGTTTAAAAACTTCTTTACAACCTTTACAACCTTTTTAATTTTACATGCCAGCAGTCTGATTCCGTTTTGGTTTAGGTGGAGCCCATCCTCCTGTATAGGTTCCTCTTTTCCCAAAAGCTATGGTGACCATATTTTTCTAAGAGAAAACAGAACACCCCCAGCCACTCGCCC